ATTCTTTGCTAATAGGAAAAAGTCAAAAAGTCGGAATAGTACTGGTAAAAAATAGAAATAGAATTTCGGTAAAAATAATTTATTACCGTCACCAACTTACGGTAAAAACTTCAAAATTTTGCCGCGGTAAACTTCGGCAAAAAAAATATTTTACCGTTACCGCTCATGCCTAACCGTTATCGACGGTAATTTTCGCTAAAATCAATAAAAATTCGGTAAAAATAATCTTATTACCGTTACCGGCTTACGGTAAAAAACTTCAAAATTTTACCGCGGTAAAGTTCGGTAAAAAAATGAAACTGTCCCTTGATTTTGTATTATGTCCAACTTTTTTCGTTATTAACGAGTCGTTATACATAGACATATAGTTCGCAATAATATGGCTACGAATGTAAAGAATGAAAAACGCCCTTTAAAACCTCAGACCAAAGCCACGACAAACATACCAAAAAGAAATAAAAAGTAATAGTGGATCCATTTCTTATGAAAAAGTGAGTGATAGTTCTAGCGACGAAGCTGAAGTAATAGCAAAATTATCAAACGTTTGGACAATGGCTATATATGACGAAATTACACAAAAAGCAAAATGCAAACTCTGCACGAAACTTATTTCCTGTTCTGGTGGATCAACAAGTGGTATTCGAGCACACCTAATACTGGTAAGTAACAGTTTTATCTTAAACACGGTTCGTCTTACTTAGATACTCTGTTGTCAGGTATATAAAAGAACTGAATTGAAAATAAAGCAAAATATTGATAGAAAAGTAAAAGATAACCAAAAACAACCACAGGCATGTTTAATGAAGCACTTATCAACAGTTTACCGATAAACAAATCGAAGTCAGTTGATAAAGCCATATTAGCCGCAGTTGTTAAAGACGGAAGAAGTTTCGGTGATTTTAATCGTTTAGGTATAAGACAATTGATTGCAACGGTAGTTGGAACTGGTTATAGAATCCCGAGTAGATTCCAGATTCGTCGAAAACTTAAATATTTATATCAAGTGGAACGTCAGAAATTGAAAGATTTGTTAGAAAATGTCAATTATATTAGTTTAGCTAGTGGCATATGGTCTAACAAGTCAGGGGATTTGTACTTTGGTTTAACGGATCATTTTCTCGATGATAATTTTCGCACTAAACATAATGTGTTGATATTCAAAAAATTTTCTGGAACACAGTGCAAGTCGTTATGCATCAAAAATTCTCAACGAATTATCGAAATTAAAGACTGAAACGAAATCATTTTCCATCACAACTGACGGTACAAAAAATATGTGTAAAATATTGAAAAACATTAGTGGAATCATGACTGGAATCATGACTGTATATTGTATTGCACATGGCTTACATCTAACCATTTGCAATGGATTACGATTATGGTCAAATAAAAAAGCAGACAGCAACAGTGTTTCAAATATTACAGAAACATTTTTAAGAATCCAGTAAGTGTCAAATAATAATGTATCATTTAAGATAGAAGAATAGCACTTTAGACCTATATCTGACCAACGTTAAGTATATTAAACAGCAGGATTCGAGACATCTTTGAGATGAACTAGACAGAACCTGGAAGCAAAGGGACGATCTACAAATAGCGAAACTTTTTGTAAGGGAAAGATCATGGAAATTATCCTCTGTGCTTCTATTCTAGAAATGAACCAGACGACGATTTATTAAATTGTTCCAGTTCAAGCGAAGAAAGTTTGGAGATTGAAAAAATACTTAGGCGAATCATCGTGAATCAGATTTAGAATCTTTGCCGTCAATAAATAGTGAATCATCAGAAGAACTGGGTTTATCTGATAATCATGACAATATGAATAAAAATGACATTGATGACCTAGTCACATTAGTTGATGGGAAGCGAGTTATGAATTCAATCACAGCTGTTATGGAAAAGTGTAGAAAACTCGTCAATCATTTTGAAAGATCAACGAAACAAAGTAGCTATTTTTTCAACAACATGTTGGAAAAACGAAGAAATGTCATAAATTAATAATTGATCTGAAAATCCGTTAGAACAGTTCGTATGCTATGTTACAATGTCTCATTGAATTAAAAACACACGTTATGACCATTCTTAGTGACGTAAACAAACAAAAAGGAGAAAAACTAGAATCGATTTAT